AAGCAATGTCCTTCAGTATTACAATGTTTGTTCGTGCATGTGTGTGTGTGCGTGTGTACACGTGTGTATGCTAATGCATACGCCAACACTCGTATACTTAGATTTTACATTGACTGAATGTTGAAAAAAAGGGTGTGTTTACATTTTGTTTTCTTTCTTTCTTCTGTTTTTGAGATTGTGTACATAGTGCAGAATGTTTTTTAAGTGTGTGTGTGTGTGTGTGCGTGCAAGAAAAATCGACTATTGACAGTGTCAAATGTGATGCATTCTCCGGCATTTCTTCAGAGTCTCAAATATTATCTGTTATTAGCACAATTTTACAAATGATGACTTGCGGACACACTGAATGATGTGTTTAATAAATGAATAAACAGTACGATTATTTGGTGAAAAACTCAAAGCAAAAACACGTGTATCTCATAATCTTATAAGCAAACTATGCATACAAAACACTACAGTTGTATTTTACTCATTTCAGAAAGTTTAGCTTTCATTTAAATCCTACACTTTAAAGATTTAAAATTGAAAGAAAAATTCTAAATAGTTTTGACCATATGGTCCCATATATAAGCACTCCTCACTCCTGGCTTACGTTCCCAGAAAAATTCAATCATCCACATTTTATACCATATTTTTGGCAGACTCTCGCCATCTTGGGCAAACCACTTCTGCAACGTATCTTCTGTCAGAATTCCCTTTTATTTCTCTCTCGGTGAGGTCATGCATGAATAACTAATAGAATAGTGATATTTAAGATCAATTTTGAACAATTAAATATACAGAAATAATTTGACCATTAAAATGAATTCCCAAAATGTCCTTTAATTAAAAAAGTGCAGCTCCTTATAGGCAATATAGAAAATGCACATCAGGTTATAGCTCTAGCAGCCGAGTTAAAATAATAAATGCAATATTTATCTGGGGTGCAAAAGGGAAATGATACAAACCAAATATTGATCCAGAAACACATCTACATATACTGCTGAAATCTGCCGAAAGCTAAACAGGCATTCTGAATGTATGCATTGGCATTATTGTCTTGAATTATGCATCGATATGGCCCTTAATGTCAGAATTGTGTACACAAGTAAGTTTGTACCTCTTAACCTCTCTCAATGTAAGTGAAGAAGGGAATATTACATATTAGATTTCTGGGAGGAGAGTGTAAATGTTGAGTTATAACAGTTTCTGTAATATCGGGATCTGTTCAAGGTCTCTCCTCAGCTCTTTTTTTTCTTTTTAGAGAAATATCTTCATTTCTGAAGCACACATGGTATGAGAAGGATTGTTTTTTAAATAGGAATACATACAAAAACAGCTTCTGGCTTAATTTTTTTATCTGTTATTTTCTTTTTTCTTTCTTTCTGTGCCAAGACACATCAGAATGCAGGGCCAAACTGCAGCAGTAAAAATAGCGAAGCAGTTCTCAGATGCGATACCCGACGGAATTGTGTGCATGCAATGTGTGCGTTTCTTCAGCTTGAAGGGAACATTTTACGTTAGGAGCTGCGTGCTGAAAAGCTGCGGAGATGCAAAGGAAATTCATCTGGCGAATGTGTTTAAGTGATTCTAACGTAAAACACAATATCCGTCATGACTCAGATTTTATGAACACGAAGTAAAAGTCTTCCTCATAAAGTTCTGTGAAGCAACAAGCAATCGTGACCTCCGGAAAACGTGTGCTTATGTGCGTGTGTTTGTTTTTCAGCATGCTTGCATGCACCTGTATATCTGTGCTGAGTGCTTCCATGCATATTTTCCATTTTTGTATGTATGAGTCAATTTCACTAGAATAGCCAAAAATAAATAGCTGTGACCCTGTGAGTACAGTATCAGAGAAACTAGCTCAATATTAGCCCTCCCCACCTATTAAATAGACATATATATATATATATGAATGATTGAAGTTTCAGTATCATTTGCAATTAATCAAGAACTTTGCAAGCCTTTCACTCAGTGCATTAGTATAATATGAAGCAGCCCGTTTTTGGGGCAAATGGATATCGTGACGAGTCTCACAACTCAACTCAACCCTTCCCCTCGTCATGGTCTCAGCATGACTGTTCACTGTCCGGCTTTGGATCAGAGCCAGGATGAACAGCCTTGTTTCTGCCAAACCGGGTTGCAGGCTTGGCTGCCATGGAACAATATGCGCAGAGCACAGCACAGAAATGTAAATGTGACCCTAGTCGGCTCTGAAGCAGGCCCTGTTTCACAACGCTGATTCACTGTTGTTTACCTGATTAGCCCTCCCCACCTATTAAATAGACATATATATATATATATGAATGATTGAAGTTTCAGTATCATTTGCAATTAATCAAGAACTTTGCAAGCCTTTTCACTCAGTGCATTAGTATAATATGAAGCAGCCCGTTTTTGGGGCAAATGGATATCGTGACGAGTCTCACAACTCAACTCAACCCTTCCCCTCGTCATGGTCTCAGCATGACTGTTCACTGTCCGGCTTTGGATCAGAGCCAGGATGAACAGCCTTGTTTCTGCCAAACCGGGTTGCAGGCTTGGCTGCCATGGAACAATATGCGCAGAGCACAGCACAGAAATGTAAATGTGACCCTAGTCGGCTCTGAAGCAGGCCCTGTTTCACAACACTGATTCACTGTTGTTTACCTGATTACTTTACTCCCTGTAACCCTCTCATTAAAGACTGAGAGTAAACATTCAGCATCGGCCCATGACGCTGTCCACTGCGCTGTGCACGATCAGTGACTCATCTCCTCTACAAAAAAAAAAAACACAAGCGAAAGAAGAAAGTCATCTTTACTGATGCTCATCCGTTCTCATAACGTTTCCGGTTTATAGTGTGCAAATGAATGCTTTGTTGTGTGGCCGATATTTTGGTATCCGTATTCTTTTTCTACAGGAAAAGGACTGTATCTCTTACTGCATGTCTTGCATGTCTCTTATCAGATGGAGGCACTTAGAGTTGTTTGTGGTCACGTTTATGCGTATGAGGGACACAAGCGTGGGATTTAGCTCACTAGAAGAAAGGATGTTTTGATACGTTTTTACCTCCTGTTACTTCCATTGCCTTACAGTAAGGCCCAGTGGTAAAATCTCCTAATTGTTCTCTAAATGAATTGATGTTATCCTTTTGTGGAGAGGAAATGTTCCCTTGGCTTCTCATTTTGTTGTAAATTAAATGTTTTCCAGTTGATGCGTACCTGAATAAAATACAACAGAATCCACTGTCTTTTTGTGTGTGTTGCAGATATACAAAACAAAAAAGATATGTCAACAAACCGGGAAAGATGGAATAAACTACCTCAATTTGAAGGTGTGCGTGGCTAATTGTAAAAAAAAAAAAAAAAAGTTGTATGAATAAAAATAGACTTAGCAATTCTATATAAATATAAATCAGCTTTATTACCACAGGGTAGTCAATTACTGTTAACCTTTATATGTAAAAATTCTCATTTTAAGATTTGGCTTGGAAGACGACACCCAGAGAAACTAACAGACAAGAATGCTTTAATCAGCTTGTACTACTGCTGACTGAATGCTGAAGTTCTTTAAAATCCAGTAAATTATGTTTGGCTGTCAATGTATAAAATTTGTTCTAAAAATTAGGGGGGGGGGGAATTTTTTCTGAAAGTGATTTCAACGATATCATTCGTTATCATTATAGATGTGGTGTGGACTTATCTATTCTTGAGAAATTAGAACTTTCTTTCTTTTTAACATTCTCAAAAACGGTAATTATAAAACTATCTAGACAACCATATCAGTGGCCGCACCGATGGACCATTCTGTTCTATCTCTGCTGCTTTAAATACTTGAGCACTTTTAAAGCAGGACGGATTCTGATCGGCTGTAATTGTTTAATTGTTCATCAGCAGAAATTTTTTTTTTTCTGAAAGCGATTTCAACGATATTGTTCGTCTGTGTCGTTATCATTATAGTTGTGATGTGGACTCTGCTATTCTCATAGAATTTGAATGATTATTAAAACTTTTTAGTTACTGTTATCTTTAAAGGGGTCATATGATGCGATTTCAAGTTTTCCTTTCTCTTTGGAGTGTTACAAGCTGATTGTGCATAGATAAGATCCCTGAAGTTGCAAAGACTAAAGTCTCAAATCCAAAGAGATATTCTTTATCAAAGTTAAGACTCTGCCACGCCCTCCTAAAACGGCTCGTTCTAACACGCCCCCACATATCTACCTCACTATGTGGAAATATTAGCATAATGCCACCCAAATGTGCATGCAAAGAAAGAAGGCGTGGTTTCAGTAACCGCAGTTAGTGTTGAAGCAGCATGTCAGGGAGACGCTGTGTGTTTCTAGGCGAAAGCAAAAGCACTTTATTTGGTCTTCCGAAAGTAGATGCATTTAACAATCTGTAAGATTACTTACAACAGAACAGCAATGCGTTTTATGGACGACGTTTCGTGAACCTAGGAGAGGAGGTAATTCTGACTCCTTGATGTGAATAGGCCTATGCCTTAAGACATTGACATATTTAAATAATATGAGATAATGAGATTTCTTTAACATCTAAATTTGTCCTCAGCAACAATGATTTGAACAAAGAACAGAGATTTCATTTCTTATCAAATTTCATCATCTTAATAAGCAGGCCTACTCAAGTTACCCGAGCCATATATCCACATCGCCTCATTAGTGTTTATTCATACTTCTGCTAAAGATTTCAGGAGAAGCATGAGATAAAGTTCAAATTAGACACACCTGAGAACTCGATTAACTCGACTCCCCAGAGCGTCGAAAGAGCCACTCTTCAGTAAAGCTTCTTGGTAAAGGCCATTGGATTTATTCGACAGCCCTTATACGTTCTCTTTAAAGAATGGACGATAAATAATGCTGAAGATCAACTATTAAGAGAAACTAAGAAATCTTGTATCGTTGCAGTCATTTGGTTTGCGTCTAGTCTCCATAAACGCAGTGTGTGTGTGTGTGTGTGTGTGTGTGAATGTCTCCTGAGGTACCTGTTGCGCGGCTGTAGTTTGACCTCTCCGCTTGCCGTAGTTTAAATCCTCGCGACCTCTGACTTGCAGTAAACTTCTCTACTTCCTGTTCGCCGTCCCACTCTTATGGACTGAAAAGGCGATGGTTTTTGAAGGAAAGGGATTCTGTTTCGATTGATTTGGATTGAAGTTGAGCACAAGATGAGTTGGTATGTATCACAACGCTTATGTGGGCTAATAAATAATAATAACGCGTTTGTTTTCGGACGACGCGTAGTGTCGCGGACTGCGTCTCAAAACATAGTGAGCTGTCTACCTAGACTGCACTCCGAGCGGCCGAATACACCTAAAGTGCTGTCTAGCTAGGCAGCGAGCGAGCTTTTGACACCGCGCCGTTGACTATTCTAACATTGTTTGAGGTTACAAATGAGTTTAAACGTTACATAAACACTTAAAAACGATATGTAGGATTGTCCTGTTTTCTGTAAATATATAATTGTATTTCGCTTGTTAGCCCATAGCTCTTCCCTTGGTCTCAGTAGCTAAGTTAGCACACAAGCCTCGGAGACACGATGTTTACAGTCTGAAGTATAGGTTTAAAGGTTATTTGATTTTTATTTTAAGCTACTTTAATTCTAAAAAAGTATTTATTAAATACAGGCACACTGTGATATGTGTAGGCTACGTCTAATTGTATGAATCATTTCTAATGGATCTGGCAGAGAGTATGCATTTCAGTCTGTTTACTTTACATTTTAGAACTTTTTTTTATCTGTATTCTTGTCCTAGAAATGAGTAGCCTACACTGATCTGAAGAACCTGTAATGTAACATCACACACTTTGAATCCGAAGAGCTTGCTATATACAGGAGCAGCTCAAGAGCCCCTGTGGCTCTAGAAAACAAGAGGGTTCTTTGCTGAGGGGTTTTCAGAGAACCATCGAAGAACCTGTTTTTAAGTGTAGTTCCCTTCATCGGTCGCCGAGTCCGTCTTTCACTGGATTCCAGGAAACTAGAGACTTGTTAGCATTTGTTTTAGGTTGAACACAATGGACCACTGTCGACTTGTGTAGTTTTGCCCTGTCAGTTTGTTATGCTTTCATCAAGATGTAAGAGAACTTGGGGAAAGACATTGCCATTAAACTACAAAGGTTTGACAGTTTTGTTTGTAGATAACATAATAATTTGTCATGGTGCTTTAACAAATGCACAAAGTGATTTTGTGATGATTTGCAGTTTTTAAGGTTGGTTGATCGTCTATGTTCATCGTGCTGTATTGTAGTCGTTGTGGCCTTTACAGTAACATTCGAAAGCTAGCATTCAGAATTAAGTGGATGCATATAAAAGTCTGTTTTTTAAAGTCGAAATGTAACTAAAGTAGTGACGAACCTTTCTTTATGTATTGATGTACATCTGGGTGAAGCAGATTATCAAAAAAGAAAAAAATATATAAGGCACCTAGTGGGGACTTGGTTCTCATTGGTTGTTGATTGGATGGAGGTGTATGACTGTGAGCTTGTAGTGGATTGTAAGAAAGAGACTGGGTTTAAGGAGGCAAATGATTGGATGACTGCACTTCTCTAGTCATCTAGTCTCCTTGAACCCAGTTACCAGTGAGAAAATCAAGGTATTTTGATTGAAAAGGTCAAAAAAGAAATGTACTCTATGCGTAGATGATTAGTTTCTGGGGGTCTTAAAAAGTCTCAATATGCCCTTCTACAAATTAAGGCCTGAAACGGTATTAAATTGGACCACAAAGCCTTAAATTCCTAAAGTTATAGCATTAAATGTAGCATGTATTGCAAAAAAAGTCAATGTTGTCCCAGCATTTTTGTCTTGTTTTCCAGTACAAATATCTGAACATCCTTAAAGGGGTCCTATTATGCTTTTTCAACTTTAGTTAGTCTGTAATTTTGCTGTTTGAGCATAAAAAAAGATCTACAACGATACAAAGTTCAAAGTCCACTCCAAAAGGAGATATTTCATTTAACAGAAATCACTTTCAAAAACTACAACGAATGACTCGTTTGGACTACAACACATATTTTCTGGGATTTGTGATATCACAGATATCGACGAATGGGACGAGACCTGGTTGAGCTGCACTAGAGAAGGCAACGAGTGTTATCATCACTATGTCGGAGACACGCTAGTTTTCCCTAGGCAGACCAACTTAGAGTGGTTACAATCATCCAGGTTTAAATCGCGCTTAAATTTATTTGATTTTGACGCAATGTTTACACTGAAGCTCGCAGGTGGCTATGGTAAGGGGCGTGACATTTCCTGACCAGGCGCCGAGTGCTGCCAATCACAGCACACACCGGCCCAGCTAACCAATCACAGCACACACTGGCCCAGTTGACCAATCACAACACACACTGGCCCAGCTAACCAATCACTACACACGCTGGCCCAGTTGACCAATCACAACACACACCGGCCCAGCTGACCAATCACAGCACACACCGGCCCAGCTGACCAATCACAGCACCCACCGGCCCAGCTGACCAATCACAGCACACACCGGCCCAGCTGACCAATCACAGCACCCACCGGCCCAGCTGACCAATCACAGCACACACCGGCCCAGCTAACCAATCACAGCACACACTGGCCCAGTTGACCAATCACAACACACACTGGCCCAGCTAACCAATCACTACACACGCTGGCCCAGCTAACCAATCACTACACACGCTGGCCCAGTTGACCAATCACAGCACACACCGGCCCAGTTGACCATTCACAGCACACACCGGCCCAGCTGACCAATCACAGCACACACCGGCCCAGCTGACCATTCACAACTCACACAGGCCCAGCTGACCAATCACTACACACGCTGGCCCAGCTAACCAATCACTACACACGCTGGCCCAGTTGACCAATCACAGCACACACCGGCCCAGTTGACCATTCACAGCACACACCGACCCAGCTGACCAATCACAGCACACACCGGCCCAGCTGACCAATCACAGCACACACCGGCCCAGCTGACCAATCACAGCACATTTCGTATTTTAGAAGGTGGGCCTTCATTTGATACAGGAACTATTCAAGCTGTTCGTGCCAGACTGGGGAGAGAGGTGTTGTAATAATGCAAAATATGTGAAAAATAATGTGTTTTTCGAAAAACCTAGTATGAGTCCATTAGCTGATATTTGTTCTCGTTTTAATCATAAACTCACTTCATTTTGATCAATTTCTCAAAGCAAGAGTTCTGATGATGTTATTTTGATTCTCAAGTTAATGTATCTTGATTTAAGAATCGTTGGAAGTTTGCACTGGAAAGCGAACATCAGGTTTTTTTTTTGTTTTTGTTTTTGTTTTTTTGCAGTAAAAGTTACGATTATTTCTATATTCCAGTGGTTGGAAGCGGAGTTATAGTATTATTGTGTGTGTGTGTGTGTCTGTGTTTGTAAAATTAATTAAAAACTAATTGAGGTCTGATGGATGATCTAATTGAGATCTGGAAGATGTGAAGTGTTGCTACAAGACATTTACATTTAAAGATCATATTATTGACGCATTGTGTTCCATTCACTTTATTCCTTAAATTTTCTTTAGTCTTAAGTCTTAAATATACCTTTTATAAAACCTGCAGAAAGCCTGAATACAAGAAATAAATAGGGTGATGGCATATACTTTAAGCATTCATGTCATAACGTAATTGCACTGCTTGCAGCAAAGCAGGCTTGGCTTGTTAAGGTCACAGTTTTCAGACTGAACGATCGACATAATGTGAATGAACTTGCAAACCGAGGTGAAGATGAACAGACATGCATTTGTTTTGGCTCATGGCTTTGTGACCACACTAGAGCGATCTGCTACATGCAAAAATGATATAATGTCACAATTCTCTGGCCACTCTGGCTGAAAAAATTCAGCTTTTTTAACGTCACAGAATGTCAAAACGTCATTCTCTGTCCGATCTGAAGCAGAGAGGGGGACTGCTTTTATGGCTTTTCCTTTTGACATATTAAACATTCTACCATTTGCATTGTTAGAGGTTCGACTTCAGAAATTGAATCGGCGTCACAGGGTCCTACTGAAAGGTCAGCGGCCGGCAGAGGATGCTTCCACTAAAGTACGCTTAGTGTTGGGGTGAAGGCCCGAATGAGCCGGTGGTAAAAGGATCCTTTATGAGCCAGGCTGACCCGCTACATTCATGCAGGGCCTCTTGCTAGATAGAGTGACGCGGTCGCTCTGACACGGGGGTCGCTGTGACAACAATTAACGTCAACCGAGTCTCTGTACTCCTTGTAGATAAGATCCCGGCGTAAATCTGCCGTCTCAACAGATAGAGCATCCATTAGCTGGCATCTCCGCTCGGGCTGCTGTGTAGCGTGAGTCAAGTTTGCCTGTTCTCGCTGTAATTTCTGCTGCAAGTCTGAACGAAGCTTTGTTCGCGCGTCTGTGATCATGCTGATAGCGTAAAGTCTTGGATTTCAGAACAGGCCACTTTTCATTAATCGGTGTCTCTGTGAATGGAGAGGATTTTGTTTAAGTCGTCATGAAAGCAACAGGAATCATTTAGTCTTCTTCAGTCTCTCTGCAGAATTACCAGTAACATAATGCTTTATTTTAATACTAAAGGCCACATCATTTGGCCAATAGGTCAGGCCTTGAGCATGAATGTCTACGACTTCCTTTTTCAGATGAAATTATGAATCTGAGATTTGGGGCATAAACTATAAAACATTTCTTGAAGCATCTTGGAGATGTTGCCACAGTTCTTCTGGATTGAGTCTGTCTCAGTTTGTTCTGTTTCTTCATGTAATCTCAGACAGACTGATGATGATCAGATCAGATATCTGTGTGGCGCACTGGCTGCTGTCAGACAAAAATCTCACTGGGTTATTACAATTAATGTTTGGAAATGGAAACTGATATTTCCTACTGACACACTACAGCAAAAGATAGAAATAACTGACTTAAAACCATTTTTAGCTGCTGAAAATACTAGTGTTCTAATAAATTTGGCCACCACTGTTAATGCAAGTGAAATTAGGTCGGGAATCCTAACTAAACAATTCATATTAATCAGGGCACAACAGTTTGGGTAATATTCCCTACCAAAATCTGATCTAAAGGCATTTGGTGACTGAAAATAATAAATATTTAGCCAATATTGAGTACTAAAGCAATATAAAGTTATTGTTAACTTCTATTACCTGCAGAAGACTCTATTGAGTATGTGCTCTCCA